CCTCTTAGCAAGCAATCTGCCTTTGTTAGGAAAATGTCTTGGTAAGTTCACTGAGGTAAGTGAGTCTCTGAGAAGCATAGATGTCTCTTGGCCCCCAGGCTTCAGAGAAAGGTATAAAAATACTGAGACATGAAAGGTAAATTATTTACTCTTTGAGAAGAAAGGCCAAGGTACGACAGAACCAAGAAAATGCTAAGGGAAGGATATGCAGTGCTTGATATACCCCATTCCCCAAACTATCAGAATTACTAAACACATGAGATTTTGATGGGGCAACATTTTAAAGGACATCAGGAGTGCTGATTGTCATGCCAGGATTAATATGATGCTGTGCAGAGACAGCAAATGAGAATACAGGGCCTACAAGAACCCAGATGAATTCAAATTTCACTGATTTTTCACAGGTATCATTTGAGCTAAGGTTCGTGACCAAATCTTACTAATTCTTCACTTCAGAAATAAGCAGGAGAACGCCTACATCGCGAACCTCATACTGTTGGATACATGGTCTGAAGTAGAAATTAACCCTGCACAGGCAATTAGGGTTAGTGTGGAACTACTCTGAAATCAATTAAATTGCCTTTGAAGGACTCACAGCTAGACCTGCTTAATGTCTTTGAGCTTACTAGAGTAGTTGAGGAGTAGTTGGAGAGTATGAACTTTAAAAGCTGTTGTTCAAACTAGCATCTAGAGATTTGCAATATTCTTAAATTTGTACTGGAAGGGGCAAAGAGGATCATAAGTCTTTCTTCTGGGAACTGATCCAAAGTTCCATCCGTGTTTCATCTACCAGGTCAGACCTCTTACAGACTTGGCTCCTCCTGTGAAATTACTATTGTGCAAGCATTATAGTCTCTGGTACAGGCTTCTGATTACCAAAACAAAACAAAACAAAAACAGGTATTCCTGGGAGGTAAGGACTAGGAATTGGAGAGAATATTGAGTTCTGGTTATAACATGCCACTATAGTGTTGAGACTAATAGGATGTAGTCATTTAAGAAAGGATATTAGTAGAAAGTTAATGATTCCTAACAACACAGGTCATACGTAATGTCAAAACTGCTCACACATCTGTATCAGACTGAGCATCTAACACTTGAAAAGAGAACCATAGGGATTTGCACACCAATGAGGAGAGAAGTTATGTTCATATTTGTTAAGAGCAGAAAATTTTTGCAGTGAGTAAAAAATAAGGGGTTTTTGAACAGTTTGGAGAATAACGTTTTATTAGAACAAATATAAGAACTACGATTTCACTATAGTGAAGCATTCCTATGGGAGTTCTAATTTCATGAGATGAAGATAATTCAGAAAGAGAGAACACTGGGTTCTCTCAAGATACAAAACCAAACAAGTTGGGACTCTAAGCCCTAGTTCAAACTTAAACAGCTGCACTTGATTTAAGTATGACTCAGCTCCTTGAGGTCAAATTTCCAACAAGCAATATCTCCAGAAGTGGAGGGAAGTAGATCTTGTCCTCTGCTCAAAAGACCTCCCAAAGGAAATCTGAAGCCCTAGTTGTGAACGAGGCCCACTAATTTGCTGTCTATGAAAAACGTTCTGTGCATAGAAAAAAATGTGAAGGGAAATGGGCTGGAGATTCAGCCTTCTCTCCTGTTCATCCTTAAACTCTAATGTTGCCACAATTCAGTGCTGCCACAATTTAGTCAAGAGCCATACATTTCCAGGCAGATGTAAGATGGCAGCCTGATTGAGCAAGACTAGAGAACAACTGTCCCCATACCTCAGCAACTGGTTGTAACAGTTTTCCAAAAGGAGCCTAACCTAGAGCCTGCCAAAATTAGGGATGCTTCTCCTCTATGGGCCAGTCCTTAATTTTATTCTTTTGTTTGAAATAAGATTGAGATTTTAAGATAGAAAGTTTATTTTTCATTTATTTAAGCTGAATCAGAGATCTGTTTTATGTATTTTTATTGCTAGCAAAAAATCTGATTCATAAACATAAAAGATATTGGCTTCATTTTAGTGAACTGGAGTAATGGGCATTTAATGAAAGTGTGGGAGTCAATGTTTGTAGATGACTTTTTGACTTCAAAATCTAGAAATGTATGAGTATTGCAATAAAAAAAATAGGCTCTTGACCTTGGATTCGTATATGAAGAAGACGTATGTCTACATCTTTAACCGTGAACTCCTTCATACATTAGGATCAGCCAATTTATTAAATATCTTTCATTCGAACCTCTGTTTTTAGTACTATTAAAAGTCCAGATGACCAATTGGGATTTATCCCAGATATGCAAGGCAGGCTCAACGTTTGAAAATCAATTAATATAATCCATCACACCAACGAACTTAAAAAAGAAAAATCACATCATTATATCAACAGATGCAGAAAAAGCATGTGACAAAATCCGACACACATTTATGTTAAAAACTCTCAGTAAACTAGGACTAGATAGGAACTTCCTAAACTTAATCAAATTTTTGATTAAAGGATTTCTACAGAAAAAAAAAAAACTATAGTTGACATCATACTTAATAGTGAGAAGCTCAAAACTTTCCCACTAAGATCAGTACAAAGCAAGGATGTCCCCTCTCACTACTCTTTTTCAACCTTATACTGGAAGGTTTAGCTAATGCAGTAAGACAATAAAAGGTATATAGATTGGGAAAAAAGACACAAAACTGTTCACAGATAATATGATTATCTATGTAGAAAATCCAAAAGAATCAATAAAAAAAAAAAAAAACCCTGAAACTAAAAAGGTTGCAAGATACAAAGTTAACATGCAAAAGTCAATTGCTTTCCTATATACCAGCAATGAACAACTGGAATTTGAAATTAAAAACACAACACCATTTACATGAGTACCATCCAAAATAAAATACTTAGATATAAATCTAACAAAACGTGTAAGCTCTCTACGAGAAAAACAAAACTCTGATGAACAAAATCAAAGAAGAATAAAATAAATGGAAAGATATTCCATGTTCATAGAAGGGAAAACTGAATATTATTAGAATATCGGTTCTTTCCAAATTGATCTATAAAGTGAATGCAATTCTCATCAAAATTCTAGCAAGTATTTTATGGATATTGACAAACTGATTTTAAAGTTCATGAGGAAAGGTAACAGACCCAGAATAGCCAACACAATATTGAAGGAGAAGGAAAAGGTTGGAGGGCTGGCAATGCCCGACTTCAAGACTTACTATAAAATTTACAGTAATCAAAACAGTGGTATTGGCAAAAACAAATAGATCAATGGAACAGAACAGAGAGCCCAGAAATAGACCCATATAAATAAGTCAATGATCTTTGGCAAAGGAGCAAAGGCAATACAATGGAATAAAAAAAAAAAAAAAGTCTTTACAACAAATGGTACTGGTACAATTGAAATCCACATAAAACAAACAAACAAACAAACAAACAAAAACACCTAATCCAGACACAGACCCTATAACTTTCACAAAAATTAACTCAAAATGAATCATAGACCTAAATGTAAAATGCAAAACTACAAAACTCCTAGAAAATAATGGGAGAAAACCTAGGTGACCCTGGGTATGGCAATGACTTTTTAACTACAACACCAAGGGCATGATCAATGAAAGAAATAATTGCTAAGCTGGAAATCATTAAAACTGAAAATAACTGCATTGTGAAAGACAATGTCAAGAGAGTAAGACAAGTCACAGACTGGGAGAAATCATATGCAAAAGACACAGCTGATAATAGACATCAAAAATATACAAAGAACTTTTAAAACTCAACAATGAGAAAACAAACAACTTAATTAAAAATAAGCCAAAACCTTAACAGACACCTCACCAAAGATGACATAGAAATGGCAAATAAGCCTATGAAAAGATGGTTCATATCATATGTCATCAGGGAAATGCAAATTAAAACATATGAGATACCACTATATACCTATTAGAATGGCCAAAATCCCAAATATTAACAATACCAAATTCTGGAAAGCATGTGGAGCAACAGGAATTCTCATTCATTACTGGTGGAAATACAAAATGGTACAGCCACTTTGGAAGAGTTTACGACAGTTTTTGAAAAACTAAACATATGCTTTACCATATGATCCAGCAATTGTGCTCCTTGTTATTTATCCAAAGGAGCTGAAAACTTATGTCCACACAAAAACATGCATACAGGTGTTTATAGCAGCTTTATTCATAATTGTCAAAACTTGGAAGCAAGCAAGATATCCCTCAGTAGGCAATTGGACAAAGTGTGGTACATCTAACAATGTAATATTACTCAGCACTAAAAAAAGATGAGCTATCAAAGTCATAAAAAGACATGGAGGAACCTTAAATGTGCATTACTAAGTAAAAGAAGCCAATCTTAAAAGGGTACATACCATATGATTCCAACTACATGAGATTCTGGAAAAGGTAAAACTATGCAGACAGTAAAATGATCAGTGGTTGGCAGAGGCTGGAAGGGCAGGAATGAATAGGCAGACCAAAGATTTTTGGGACAGTGAGAATAGTTAGTAAGTTAGTATAATGACAGATATATGTCATTATACATTTGTCCAAGCCCATATAATGTATACCACCAAGAGTAAACCCTAAACTAAACTATGGACTTTGAGTAATTATGATGTAATCAATGTGGGTTCATCAATTGTAACAAATACACTACTCTGGTGAAGAATGCTAATAATGGGGGAGGCTATGCATGTGTAGGGACAGAAGGTGTATGAGAAATCTCTGTACCTTCTCAATTTTGCTGTGAACCTGAAATTGCTCTAAAAATATAAAGTTTTAAAATCACACAAAAAGTTCCAAAAGGCAAAATTTGACACAACATTTTTCCACATTTATTTAGCTTTCTTTTAGCTAATTAAGTACAGTTTGAAATGGCTCATTATTAATAATTTTACAATTTTTCAATTACAAACAAACAGTATCACAATATGCATAAATAATGCTCTCGATACTACTTTAAATATTTTTAAGACAGGCCATGAATTAGCTTTGTGTTGAGCTAATGTTACAGGATAGCTAGAGAGTTACCAAATTCTTATACTACTGAAAAGGCTGAGTGAATTTCAACTGTAGTAATTTGATTATTAATCTTTACAATTAAAAAGAGAACTGCTACTAAAAATGTGAAGTTCCAAGCGTTTTCCAACAAAAAAGAAAAACTTACTGAGGGAGTATAATCCTATATAAATTAAATCAACTTGCTAATCACATTTTTTAAAAGGTCCTTAAGGCATTTGAGAATTCCTTAAATACCTTACATGTTATCATTATATTGTCAATTACATTATTGCAATTTCAAATAATACAACATGGTACACGTGCAAAATATTCCTTTTCTTCAGCTGGTCATATTTAAACTGATATATAAAGCCTTGTGGGTGCTCACCAAGCTACTTAATAAAGCAGTGCTGAAAAACTTGTAAATCTAATTTTGAGAGCCCATAACCCCTCCAAATCCCTCATTGGACCTTCAATGATTAAACAGAATTTGGACACTCATTTCAACTGTAAAGTAAATAATGATGGAAGCAGAATGCAAGGAAAGTACACCTGGGTCTCTGAGCTTAAATTTTCACCATCTATCTGCCTAACACAGAGTCTTAAATACTCAGTTCACTGCCACCTGCTCTTGAACGTGTTTCCCTCTCCACAGCCTCTTCTGTGGACGTTATAGCACTAAACACATTAAAATGTAATCACTGGATTTGTCTGACCCTTGTATTAGCAACTTAAGGCAAACTGTCCTTTCACACTTCTGCATTTCCTGATCCTGGCAGTGTCTGCTACACATTAAATGCTCAGCAAATGATTGCTGGATGAATAAATGAATGCATGAACTACACAATATTGATTCCGGATGCTGTAACTAAATATTGTAATTAATATTTCATTACTTAAAACTATGTTTAATATCAAGCCAAAAAAAATCAGAAAGAAAACTAGTCATCTTAGCCTCATGTTCACATATTCATGTACATAGCAGTATTATAAACAGGCACAATGTAGGATTAGCTTTCAGTACCTACTCTTCAATCACATTCACTACTGTTAGTGTAAATTAGCAACAAAAGACAATTCCTAAAGAAGTATGTCTCATAAAATGATATATCAATAATATTAACTTTGTGTTATTAAAATAAATTTTCTCATCCAAGACTATCTCTACTTTCAAACTATGACCTTTCCATGACAAAAGATAGATCCAATCACTTTTTAACTACAATTTTCCTTTGGAAAAATAAACAAGCCATAAAGCCACAGTTTTAATACATTAATATAACCATTTTATGTTGCTTCCCCATTTATGCTCTTACAGGTAAAATCCCATTACAGTGAATTCTCTTGCATAGCCAAATTTATATTATTGCAAATCCATGGTTAGAAATTATCACATATGTATTATATAGGACAAATTTATTACAAAGGTTCTGGATTTCAAGAAGTGAAAACCAGCATCTGTAATCTGAGTAAAAAGTGACACATATACAGTTCTTTCCATCAACGAGAACAGAGATCAGTGTGTAATATGGTACTCTTTATTTTGAAATTTTATGTGCAAAATTATGGAACTGTCGATAATTTTTTTCTCTTTCATAGTAATAAAGGCTCCAACAAAGAACTTTCTATACCAGTTTATTCTTCATAATAAATCAGTATTTTAATTGACTATTGAGAAATGAAATATTTGAATTATTTTTAATACAGAGCCCTTCTTGATTAACAGAATTTGTTTTAATGGGATTTTAGCTATAGTATCTTATACCCTAGACAAGTAACCATTAAAACAAGTCAATGACAAAGTATTCATGTAACTATATTACAGATCTCAGGAAACAGACATTCAGAAAAGATTTAAGTCTACTCAGTAACAGCTCTTCATAAAATTCAACAAATCTTACCATTGTAATGACTTAAAAGGGACCATAATATTAGTTTATGTTGAGCCAAAATTAAGAAAATCTTCCACTGTTGACATTTTCATGTTCTTAGTTTTTCAATCAAATAATCGGCCTGTAATTTTAAAAATATAACATTTTTTGTTACAGTTATCATAGCCTGTGTGAAATAATTCAACAGGCATCCCTACTATAATATATCACAGTAGAAAAGCTGCATACTACATGTTTGTTCTTAAAAATATCTTACAAAAAAACTAAATATAATAAATATAATAGTTTTATAAACTATAGTAAAGGTATTCTATATTGCATATAAATAGGCATATTTTTATCCATTTTGCATAGTCATTAAAAAGTTTCAATAAGAAAAGGAAAATAAATATAATACTAAAGCTTTCAAATGTAAATTAGACATGAAGAACCTTAAATGCATATTACTAAGTGAAAAAAAAGCCAACCTGAAAAGGGTACATATTGTATGATTCCAACTATATGACATTCTGAAAAAGGAAAAACTGTGGAGACATTAAAAAGATCAGTGGTTATGAGAGATGAAGGGGGAGGAACAGATGAACAGGCAGAGAACAGAGGATTTTTAGGGAAATGAAACTATTCTGTATGATATTATAATGGTTTTTACATGTCAATATACATTGTTAAAACCCAGAGAATGTACACCACCAAGAATGAATCATAATGTAAACTATGGACTTTGGGTTATAATGATGTGTCAATGTAGTTCCATGGATTATAATAAATGTATCAATGTGGTGTAGAATGTTGATAGTAGGGAGGATTGTGAGTGTGTGGGGACAGGAGTATATGGGAACTTTGTACTATCCATTCTATTTTGCTGTGAATCTAAAACTGCTCTACAAAATAAAGGCCATTTAAAAATTAAAAGTAAACTAAAGTCTTCTAGTATCACTTCAGATACTTTTCTCAATTATATATCTGATCACTATATAAGAGATTTTGAAATAAACTTTAATATCTTTAGCTTGATTTTTTCAAAATCTCATAATATATACCCACAGATTTAAGAAGAATTCAGATTCCCTGGATAAACTATTAACAGATCTTATAACTTTGTTCATTCATTTTACTTATAACTAAAAAATCATGTAAGGAAATACAGTTAAAAACATTTAAAGAAATGTATTCTTTTTGTTTTCTTTAAAAAAATTTTATTGTGGTAAAATACACATAACAAAATTTAACATCTTAAACCATTTTTTTAAGTACACAGGCTTAATATTCAGCGATATTAAGTATATTCACAGTGTTGTGCAACCACCACCCATCTCCAAAACTCTTATCTTGCAGAACAGAAACTCTATGTCCATTAAACAAAAACTCTCCATTCTCTTCCCCCTACAGCTCTTGGCAACCACCATTCTACTTTCTGTCTCTATGAGTTTGACTACTCCAGGTACCTCACATATGAGAAATTATATACTATTTGGCTTATTTCTCTGAGCATAATGTCCTCAAGGTACATCCATATCATAGCATAGGTCAGAATTCCCTTTTTGTTTTTTAATTTATTTTTCAATTATAGTTGATATACAACATTATATTAGTTTCAGGTGTATGACACAGTAATTAGACATTTATATACCTTCCAAAGTGTTCACCCCAATAAACCTAGTACCGACCTGGCACCATACATTGTTATTACAATATTATTGGCTATATTTCCTACGTTGTACTTTACATCCCTATGACTATTTTACAAAAACATATTTTTAATAAATTTTTTATTATAAAAGCATGGATCATGTAGAAAATTAGAAGTACAAACAAGAAAAAAAATCCCCTTTTTATCACACTGATATTTTAAAGAGACCACACCAACTGTCCTACAGAATCTCCCACTTTATTTCAAATATACACACATGCTTATTTTTTAAGTATTTTTTTAAGTTAAGTAAAATCATCTAGACAAGTTGAAGAGAGAAATAAGTGTGAAATACAAAGTTTCTAGAGAACGGTTACTTTTTAATTTCATATATGACTATAATAATAATATGCATTAACTAATGTTTTTTATTTAATTTATAATTTTATAATTATTCAGATATAGCCACTATAGGCCATCTTAGCATCATGGATACATAAATAAGAGACTGGTAAATTACTTCCACTGGCTCTGGAAGGACAAAGGCTTAACTGTCAAGCTACAGGCCTGTAATCAGCTGAATTCTCTTCTATTCTTGTCCTAGCAAAGCAGAATTTTGCAATTTGGGGGGGCTTAAAGCTTTAACGTCAGATCTGGTAGTTGATGCTACTACTGCAGCCCTTTTCTAAGGAGTTTAAACTATTGAAAATTACGAAAACTCAATTTCTACAGTGATGTTGATGAGAGGCATCAGATAACATCTACTGAGTACTTAGCATTTGCAAGGTACATGTTTAAGTGCTTTACATGTAAATTATTTTATCAATCCTCTTATCGGCCCTAGGTATAAGGCACTATTAACCTATATGCAGGTATCCAGGTAGCAGATAAAGAACTTGGGCCTTTAAAAAAGTTTAAGTAACTTGCACATGGTCCCTCAAGTAACTAATGAAGGAAGAATTTGAATCCAGATATTATTGTGAATTCTGAACTATTTAATGCCATGTTTCTTCTGTATCACAGCCTCTGCTTGCAAAGAAGAGATTTGATAGCTTCTCTTCCTACATTTCTATGACCTGGAAAATCCCCAAATTAAAAATATTATCTTAGATATGTGCAAGCAATATGTTAAAATAGAAGATCAAGTCTATGAGAGCCATTGCCAAGAAAAGAAAAAATACAACAAAAAAGGACAAACATTTTAATTATTTTTGTATGCTGCTAGTATAATAGTAACACTTACTGTGATAAACCAATAGGAATTCACTCTATAAACCAATTTTGAAAAGAAGCCAAGCTGATCGACTGGTGCCAGAACATGAAGGTGCAAGTGGGAGATGGAACAGAATGGTGGTACATGGAAACCCATTCTAAAACAGAAAAGTAAAAGATAATTGATAAATCAGTTCTGCATTAGTTTAAAGCTTTTTTGTTGTTGTTAAAGCACATAAATATTAAAGAGAACCAAAATAGGTTACCTAAGTTAAAAAGATTGCCACGCAAATACTCTTTTACTGTTTTTCTTTATATATTTTAGAATATTCACACAGTTCTTTTCATGTTTAAGTTCACAGTAACAAAAACTCTTCATCAACAAAGGCCTTTACAGCATATTAAGCCTCAGTATAACCTTCACGAATTCTGAGTTGGCATTCTGTTTTATCTCTTCAGTCTTTATCATATTAAGCTTTAATTCTCCTGAAATACACCCTCTACAATGAATATTTTTAAAAATTACAGGATACTCAAGAAGTAGGGTTCCATTATTCCATTATTAGCCAGTAGGTGGCGTGCTTTCTCCTTTAATAAAAGCAGTCACTTCTCACAGACCAATATTTCAGTAGTAAAATTAATTATATAATTAAAAACTTTATTATCATTTGTTTCTTGTTTTATAATGAAAATAAGCTAGATGATAATTATCTATAATTATTTGTTTTATAAAACATAAGAGAATTCCTTTGACTAATAAAAATTTTTTAATATCATTTAACCTCTTAAAAATCAATTTACAAACTGTTTTTTAAGTCCACTTATTCTAAGTAAAGCGAGGCACACCTGTAACAATAATCCAAGCCTAGAAGTAATTGCCTGTTTAAACTAGAAGTGTGTCTCAAAAAATAAATAAATAAATAAGTAGGAGTCTGCAAGACACGGAAGTGCTATACTGCAATGCAGGACTGAAAATGTAAAGTCACGTATGCAACACATATTGAAAAGCTTTCACCACTACAGAGAAAAGGAGACTAGGTTTTCCCTCTGTGAAACACGAGTCATATAATGTAGAATCACATAATGTAAATGCTAGAAGCAACGCGAGGATTCACTTATTCCTTTCATTTTAAAGACAGGGAAGCCAAGGTCCAAAAGTGGCAGAGACAGGATTTAGATTCAGGGCTCTTGACATCTAATCCAATGTCCATTCTTCTAACAAGCACTCCTATGACTGGGAAGAAAATGTGCTGCTTTTGGCCAAAGGGTCTCAAATACCATCTGCTTCTTATCATTATCACTCTTGGATAGAGCTTAACAGTTTTTGGTGGATTTTCACATATACAGTGTCATTTGAGCCTACAAGTAAGCAGAGCAGGTGTTATCTTAGAGAAGTTAAAAGACTTGTCTAAAGTAACACAGCCAGTACAAGTATAGTACATAGCAAGTAGCAGGGATAGCATTAGAATTAAGTTCTCTCTGAATTCCAGTTTAGAGGTGTTAGAAGTAAACTCTACTATACTTGCCTTGGTCCTGCTTTGGTCACAAAATGCAAAGTCTATCTTTTAAAAAGAAAAAAAAACAGTTGCCAAATTGAACATTTTGTGTTTTTGCTCAAACTTTGACCAATTTCAGAGTATGGTTCA